AGCTAACATCCTGGATTAGTTAGGATCAAATCTGACTGCAAGTAACAGAAAATTAAAATGGGAAACAAATCTTTAAAAATATATAAAATAGATTTTTAAAAGACAAAAATTTCTTTCTCTTGTGAAAAGACTATAAGTAGGCAATTCAGGTTTGTTATGTCGTTTCATTGTCATGGACTTTGTTCCAGTTTCCTCTTTCGCTTTGAGGTATTTGTTTGTGGTTTTTTGTTTGTTTGTTTTGCTTTGTTTTGCTTTGTCCTTTACTATGCTTGATCCTCACTCCAAAGGCAATCCTATTCTCTGAAATGGATGCCAGAGGTCCATCCATCAAATCCGTATTATGCTGACAATAAAGAGAAAGGAAAAAGCTGAGCACACTCACCACCCCCCAATACTTCAGATCCCTTTGCAAAAGTTGTCAAATCACATTGATTTAAGAGCACAGTCACATAACCACAGCCAGTTAAAAGGGTGCTAAGAGATATAATTTTATTCTGCACAGCTAATGATTAAGTAGTTGATTAATTCTGGAGGAAGTATAAAATAGATTTCAAGAAAAAATCTGTGGTCTCTGCCATACAGCACCATTTGGCAATTCAACTGTCAATTTAGGGACATAAGTTAACAGTTTCACTTAAATAGGTCATCTGGATATAGGTCACTTTTTCAAAGACCATGGATGTTTTACTTAGAACACTTTAGATCAAAATTAGGGCTCATCCTCATTTTAAATATTTCCCTTTCTCAAGTTCTGTCTAGTATTCTCTCTGAAGTGGAATTGGCCGTGCATTGGGAATGAACAGAGTTGTAGGTAGGCCAACAAGTGCCTTTGTATTAGAGCAGAACCAAATTAGTCTTGAGAAGAATCTTGGTCCTTGCTACAGGTACCTGTAGCAAGCTTACCAGCCTCCTGGGAGCACTTGAGATTCAAACAACAGGCCATGAGTGATCTCCAAAAGTTACAAGAAGTTTTCAATTGCAAATTCCACCTACAACTCCACTGATTAGAGTCACTACTCTGCATTTATCAGATTATATAAAACTGTCATACATATGGTATAGGTTAGAGTAACAATCTAAAAGTCTCTGTTGCTGAAAAAGATTCAAATTAGTTCAACATAAACAATATTTATGGGAGATTTAGAGTCTACTCATTTCTGTCGATTATGTAAGATCTGCTATTGAATTTTCCAGAGCATCAAAGAACTGCACAGGTGAACCAGATCCTATGTGCTGCATAGAGTTATTTTCCCCAATTTTTAAAAATATATTTTAGACTGACATGCTCACCCTTCTTTGAGACTACAAGCCACCAGGCCTGTGAACCTCATGAAATTTACTGAAAGAACTTTCCTAAAAACATTGTTCCCTGAACCAAACAGTTTCTTCTCTATGGAAACTGATGAAAGAAATTTCCCTGGGGCCTCAGGACCAGGAAGAGCTGTCTTTACTGAACAACATATTTGTCTGTTTCTTCTAGACTCTGTGACTGTGTAATTGATCAGTCTTATGCATCTTATAGTCCTCTAATAATCCATGACCCATCCACATATAGCCTGTGCATAGGGTGCCATGACACTTTCTTTTATAAGATAATCCTTCTTGGGCTTAGCTTGTTTTACTGGCTACATATTCCCTTGGATTTTATTTCCATATTATTGTTGATATACTTTTAATATTATGTGCATGTTTTATAAGCAATTTTTACTTATTTTTAGAGTTAACAAGTTACTGTGAATTTAAGTAGTAGTATGATTTGGAGGCCTTCTGAAAATTTCAGTATTAAGTAGCTGAAGCTTTGTTTTAATTTCTACTGCCACCAAGTGGTAAAACATAGAAATGTATCCCTATCTAGAGCCTTTGTGAAAGTGTGAAAGTGCTAGTTGCTCAGTCATGTCCTACTCTTTGCCACCCCACGGACTCTAGCCTTCCAGGCTCCTCTGTCCATGAAATTCTCCAGGCAAGAATACTGGCATGTATATCCATTCACTCCACCAGGGGATCTTCCCAACCCAGGGATCAAACCCAGGTCTCCAGCATTGGCAGGTGAATTCTTTATCATCTGAACTACCAAGGAAGCCCCATTTATGGACTTTAATGATTGCAAAAACATTAGCATTTTAAATCAGAGAGTCTTGAGGTTGCAGATATTTCAATACTTTTCTTAGATATAAAAGTATTTTCTGCATAGTTTGCTATAAAACTAACAATATTGCATAGTTTTGTGTTTTTTTCCCTATTAAGACACTGCCTACTATGAAACCCATTATCCTAATTCAAAATGTGGTGCTGGAGAGGACTCTTGACCAGCAAGAAGATCAAAAAAGTATATTGTAAAGGAAATCAAGCCTGAATATTCATTGGAAGGACTGATGCTGAAGCTGAAGCTCCAAGACTTTGGCCACCTGATGCAAAGAGTCCACTCATTGGAAAAGATCCTGGCTCTGGAAAAGATTGAAGGCAAAAGGAGAGGAGGACACCTGAGAATGAGATGGTTGAATGGCATCACCAACTCAATGTACATGAGTTTGAGCAAACTCTGGGAGATGGTGAAGGACAGGGAGGCCTGGCATGCTGCAGTTCATGGGGTTACAAAGAGTCAGACACAACTAAACAACTGAACAGCAAATCAAAATTCAGCCTCTATTTTATACAACATCATTAAACATTTTCCAACTGTTGTTTTGTTGTGTTGTATTTTACCTTTAGAATCATTAGTGCTTTGTTGAATTATTCTCCATTTATGGTTCATGGATATCATTTGGTTTGAGCAGACTTCCTCTATAAATGACTTGATTGATTGACTTATCCCCATTCTCTTCTCTTCCCCACATTCTTACTATGTTATCCTTCTGTTTCTATATGTTATTATAGAGTGCAATGCTGTTTCTGATGAAAGTAATTGTAAACAACACAACCAGGTAGGAAAACATACCATGTTTATTGCTTGGAAGAATTAATATTGGTAAAATAACCACACTACCCAAAGCACTGCGTAATTTCAATGCAATCTCTATAAAGTACCAATGGCATTTTTTCATGAAACTAGAACAAATAATTTAAAGCATGAAAACATGAAAGACCTCAAAGAGCTGAGACAGTCGTGACAAAGAGCTGGAGGTATTTATGCACCTTGATTTCAGTGAAGTGAAAGTGAAAGTATCAGTCACTCAGTCGTGCCCAGCTCTTTGCAACCACATGGACTGCATATAGCCTGGCAGGCTCCTCTGTCCTTGGGATTCTTTAGGCAAGAACACTGGAGTGGGTTGCCATTTCCTTCTCCAGGGGACCTTCCCAATCCAGAGATTGAACCCCAGTCTCCTACATTGAAGGCAGATTCTTTACTGTCTGATTCACCATGGAAGCGCTCTTGACTTCAGAATACATTTCAAAGCTATGGTAATTAAAACAATATGATATTGACACAAAAAGAGACACATAGATCAATGGCATAGAACAGAGACCCCAGAATTAAACCTATGGTCAATTAATATACTACAAAGGAAGCAAGAATATACAATAAAGAAAAGGCAGTCTATAAGAAGTGGTGCTTGGAAAGCTGGGTGAATGTAAAAAAATGGAATTAGAATATTGTCTCACATCATACACAAAAATAAAATGGAATAAGACCTAAATATGAGACCAAAACCTATAAAACTCCTAGAAGAAAAACAGGCTGAACACTCTGACATGAACTGTAGCAATATTTCCTTTGTTTCCTAAGACAATGGAATCTAAAGCAAAAATAAACAGACAGGACCTAATTAAACAAAAGTTTTTGCACAGAACAGGAAACCACGGATAAAATGAAAAGACAACCTACCCTAAATGGGAACATTTATTTGCAAATGACACGACCCAGTGAGGGGTTAATCAGAATACATAAACAGTTCATACAACTCAGTATCATTAAAATAAACAACCCAATTTACAAAAAAATAGGAAGAAGACCTAAATAGATATTTTTCCCCAAAAGACATACAAACTAGCAAGGCAAAAATTTTCAGCTCAGAACACAGTGGTGATCTTTCTCTCCCCCACTACTTTATGCTCAATTTGTTCCTAATGCAAGATAAGTGTTTAATATTTACTTGTTGAACTGATTAGTTAATCCTAAAATAATTGAAGTCTCTCCATGGATATTTCAACTCACAGTGCCGATTTGGCTCATTAGTCATAAAGAGTCTATCTTCACTATTCACCAGTTCTGCATGTGCTTATTTATCTGTCTGCTAAAATTTATTTTTAATGCTCAAATAAATACTCACAATTCTTTCACAGTCATTCATGGATGTGTACAGAGTGGTACAAAATAACACCTGCCTCACAAGTTCCCAGATGAGAAAGGTGACTCCCTGCATTTTTATTGCAGTTCTCAAACTGTAAACATATTCTTTACACCATCTACTTAGGCCAAATTTCCTGTGTATCTGTGCTCTTTGATGGTGATGTTGCTGTTTAAAATAGTCCTAAGGCAAAGTGTTGAAGTGTTGTCTGGTGTTCCTAAGCACAGAAAGATTGGAACATGTCTTATGAAGAAAACACACATTTAGATAAAGTTTTGTTCAAGTGCACATTGTAGGATTGTGAGCTGTGAGTTCAGTGTTAATGAATCAACGGTGCAGTAAATCCAGGAAAACAGAAGGAAATTTATCAATTTACAAGTAGAGCCACTCCAGAAAGTGTTAAAGTAATATCTACAATGTTATGATGAAGCTACTGAAGAGATGGGGAAAGAGCTAGATTTGTGGAGTCATGAGGTGTGACTGGTTTTTGTTTGTTTTTACTTTTTTCTTTGTTTTTAAAAGTATAGTGGACAACACAGTGGTATGGCTGAAAGTCAAAGATATTTATGATAGTGTTACCCAGGACCAAGAAAAGATTAAACACTTCTTGGCTGGTATTTTATAATTAAGAAATACTGTATATAATTAATAGATTACTTTGATATATATATATATATATATATATATATATATATACACATGTATATATATATGCAGAATCACACATAAAGCTATGTATTTATTAGTTGACAAAAAATGTGTGACCAGAAGCTCACTGGAACCAAACCTTGCATTTGCCCTAGAAGCAATGGCTCAATTTTCACTAAACCAGCACTTCCTGTAAATTTAACACAACATCATGAATAACAAGAACATGTTTTATGTAATCTCCTAGTCTTGATCTCACTTCAGTCCTGAGGATCAACACTCTTGTTCTTTTTGCTTGACTTTTCTTTTCTCTTCAGGGAAATACTCCCACCACTATCTCTCAGGCATCACTCATATAAGTGCTCCTGGAATTTAAAGGCAGCTATGAACCCCTTCTGATTTTGTTAAAATGCAAGTTATGATTCATGAAGTCTAAGAAGAGATCCAAGACCCAATATTTATAACAATTTCCAAGATGCTAATTCTGCTTCTCATATATGAACCACCCTGAAAAATAAGGGTCTATATTCTGCCTTCCTCTTTCTGTTTAGAATACTTGGAGCAACACTTCATCCCAATAGGTCTCTAGAGCTAAATAATTAGAATTGTCACAGGCAAAACTCTGTTTCTCCTCAGGAGCTCAGAGAAATCACTAAGGCTAGAAAATTGTGAAATGTCTTGGTCAAGTGAGGAGTACTTTAGTCAGAAGAGCATCAAATGTCTCAACTACTACAAAGATAGCAGGGAGGAAAACGATGTTTAAAAGGCTATAAAATTGAAATAAATTTAACACAGATTTTTACTGAGAACATATCACACACAGGTAAGACATTTTGCCAAGGACGCATATAGTAAAATATGTGAACTTTGTTCTCAAGAGCTTAAAAATTAGAAGGAGGAAAGAGAACTAGACAGTGGCCACAAAGGATCTGAAGTGAGGAGGAGATTTAGCAAAGTCCAGTTAAATGTTGCTGGGAACTCACATGAGGCAGAGACAGCTTTCACTGGTGAATCAGGAAAGGCCCTTTGGATGAAGTAGCATCTGAAATAAGCCTGATGACCCACTCACATTTGAATATGTGAGGGATCCTAGGACTGTAATCCATTCAGAATTTAAATTATGAATTTTTAAGTCACAAACCTAAGTTAGAACAAAAAATCCTGCAAAATTACATTTGTTATTGCTTATATTAACAACTGATATTTCAGCAGAAAAAAAACAGCATCTAAAGAAGTTGTGCAAAGAGTGGAAAGGCCATCATCACTGAGTTCTATCTAGATGTGTCCTGGGTTCCTGGGCTGCTGGGATCTCATTCCAGAGGGAAAAGTGTGTTTGAAGGTTTGCAGCAAGTCCTGATGAGAACAGAGATTGAAGTCATTCTACATGAGGTGGAGGTAAGAAATGAGGGGCAAGAAGGAAAGGGGCTGGGAGGAGAATGAGAAGAGAGAGAAACAGGTGGGCAGACAAGTGGGAACTAGGGGGGAGGCAGGACACAAACAACTCACCAGCTTTTCCTAAGCCAAAATGCAAGACCTGCCAGGAGGACCAGGGGCACGATCACTGCCAAGATGATCCAGCCATTGGAGCTGCGATGATCTGTGGAGTGGGGGTGCACACAAGGGTGTCTTCTCAAACCCACCCACTGTCTTGCTGCATTTCCATGCTTTTCCTTTGTTATTCAAATATCTGCCTCAACAATCTCCTCCCTCCTTATTTCTTCTCTTATTCCTCCTCAGAGTGACTCCATCGAAACTTATCATTTTCTTATACCTGCAGGACTCTCATTTTTAACTCTTGTATTTCTTATTTTTTATTCCTTTTGGGTGTGGAGTCCCTAGAATCCCCAATTTTTCACCTGGCTCTCCTGTTCTGCCTGAGGACCACCTATTCCCAGTCCAGCGGGGCCCCAGTTCTTCCTCACCCCAGTAGAGGATGATGTCCTGGCCTCCTAGACTGCTGTGTCTCACCCGGCAGCTCAGGCCAGATGCCTCACTGGCTTCCACATCCAAGGAAACCTGAAGATACCACGTCCCATCAGCGTTAGGTAAGACATCACTTCTCTGAGTGCCCTGTTGCTCCTGCTCACCCCGCATCCACATCACCCAAATGGGCTTTGGGTAGAAGCCAGAGGCGTGACAAACCAGCATCAGACGGCCAGGGCCAGGGCTGGGGCCAGGGGACAGCCAGGCGTCCGGTCGTACTGCAGAGGACAGGGAAGGTCATCAGATGAGGACTCTAGTACAGACTCAGAGGTTCAGAGCTTCATGTCAGTTTAGATGGACATACTTTTCCCACTGTTAGCAGTCGTCACCCATTATCCCCTCCCTCACTTGGCTCCTTGTTAGCAAGATGAGAAGGTGTGATTTTAGAACAGAAAATTTGTGGAGGAAGGGTGCAGGACTGACCTTGTCTCTGTAGATATGTCTTTCCTGCATCAAGAAGACTCAAGAGGAAACGTGGGCAGGTGTCACTGATCAGCTTGTGTATTATTTCCAGGGTGCCTTGGTATAAATTGAACAGTAAGCAGACAAACTTAGCCGTATCTCCACCATCTGGAGAGGGTATCCATACATTTTTCTGGAAGCTTAGGAAGTCTGATCCTTGATAACCAACTCGCACAAAGCCTACTGAGGCACCTCTGATGTGCATCTCACAGCCACCTGCTACCTGCAGTTCAAAGGGATCTGGGGAATAAAAGTTCTAAATTAGAAGAAAGAAGGAGTGAATAAGATAAAATAAAATGAGTTTAATTAAAAGATGATAGAAGCATAAGGGAGGATTTTAGAAAATTTGAGGGAATAGAACAAAATTTAGTTTAATTGGATGTTCAGAGATTGGGAACTAGTAGTAGTTGGAGATGCAAAAAGAGATGAATGCCATGAGGGGCAAAGTATTTGAAGAAGGCATTGTAAACTATGCAGGTAAAAAATAAGGAAGGACTTAGTGTGAGAGATTTGGGATTAGAATAATGTAGGGTGAGTAGAATGCTGTAGGTTACACTGAATATACAGACTGATCGCTAAAGCAATTGAATGGGTGATAAAATCACACTTCAAGAAGTGAATTAAGGAATGAGGAAGATGAGAGTGTCTGGTAAGGCTTAGAATTGAAGGAGGCTGCTTATTAGAGAAATAAGAAACTCACTGAGACACACACACATACACACACCATAACTTGCACCATATCCCCAACATCCATTGAGGGAACTGAACTTACATTCAAGCTTCCATTGACTGGCATGGTTGTAAAGTGCCTGGCCAAGTCTAATGAAGAATGTATGAAGTATTTTTTCCACTTCTATCAACTCCTCATCACTGAAGTTGCCTTTGGACCAAGGATGCAGGTAAATGACTGTGTCAGATTTGTTTTCCCAGGCATGAGTCTGCAACTCATCCAACCAAGCTGAGCCCAGATTTTGTGTAAGGAGTCGACTATAAAATGATGAGATCCGAATGATTTGGAAAGTGATTGGCTCCTGTAAGTCTGGAAAAAGAACAAAGAGAATGAGAAGGGGCATTGGGAAGGAGAGAGAACAGAGAAAGAAAGGTACAAAAGAGAGGAAACTCAGAATTTAGGGGAAAAGTGAGATACCTCAGCAAATATTTGGCTGCCCCAGGGACCCATACATAATAGATAGCCTTCAAAAGAGCACATGGACCTGGAGTCAGTGATACTGGAATGAAACTAGGCTGATATTCTCAGTCTCTAGGTTGGGGAAGCCACTCCATACTCACATGCATACCGCACATTCACACACATAAGCTCAAACAGGTGGATGTGCCTGCATGCATGCAAGCACACACACACACGCACACGTGCGCACACACACGTCTTTTTGAACAGAATTCTTACCATTCTTACTGTCACCACATGGGAGAAGAGTCAGGAGCAATGAAATTTGCAGAAACAGCATCTCATTTGCAGATGTTCTTTCTCTCAGAAATGTCAGTCTTTGATTTCTGTTCTAAACAAACCTACCCCACAATGCCTCTATTCTGACTTCCTTCTTCTGCCAACAGACAAAACTTCCCTTTAGTCAACATCTGAAAAAAGAAAAGTCTGCTCCTTCCCTAAACCCTGGGCCACCTCCTCAGATACTTATTTCCCTCCCAGTTCTGATTATCCTCTCTGACTTCCAGCGTCTCTTCCTGTCACCAGATTCCATCCTGTTCACCTTCCTCTAGCCTAACTGCTATGGACCAAGTTTTATATGGCACTGAAAAGTCAATGAATATAAGCCACTTTCCCCCTCATTCATATAATAAAACCGTGAAACTAAATGTCCTCCTAGCGACCTATCTAATGTTCTCATGCCTCTGCTCTTCTCTGACATACGGTCCTTCTTTTGCCTTTTTGAATATCTTCTCAACTATTCTCTTCCTCTTTCTTACCCTCACCCCACCTCATTCACATCTCTGACTTCTTATTGGTTGCTTTATTAGCTTTTTCAGAATTCCTTATGATTGCTTTGAAAAACAGTATAAACTGACACCAATTCTCCATCATTCTTAGGGAAGAATCAAGTATGTAGACAGTAAACAATCAATGGTTGCTAGGGGCTAGGTTGTAGGAGACAAAGAGGTGTAGCAGTTGTATTCTTAGGGCAGTGAAACTAAACTAAAATATACTGTCACGGTGGATGCATGTCATTACATATTTGTCCAAACCCATTGAGTATATACCATTGTTGTACTTTGGTGATAATGACGTAAATTATGAATTTTGGCTGATAATGATGTGTCAGTGTAGGTTCATCAATTGTAACAAATGTATCAGTCTGATGGGGGATGTTGATGGTCGGGGAGGCAGTGCACAGGTCAAGGCAGGAGCTATATGGTAGCCTGTGATTTCTACTCAATTTTACTGTGAACTTAAAACTGCTTTACACATTGTCTTAAAAAAAAAATGTTTTCTGGTATTTAAAGTCAATTAAGTATGTATTTTCAATAGAACATACAGGAAGACCAGAACTTATAAGCAGTACTGTGTATACTGTGAGATGAAAAATGAGCACACTGTGATAAGGATTCTTGTAGTCTCACGTTTCTAAAGAAGACAGAAATTTAATATTAACTGAACCTCCTCGCTGTACCAGGCTTTGATCAGGGACCTTTGTTATGCACCCTGATTTTTGCAAATAACTCATTAAGTTTAGTATGCAATAATTGAGGTCCCATATGTTTCTAGATATGATCTCCTTTTAGATTATGACTAAAAGAAATGCTCCGATCTGCTTGCCCCTAGTCAGAAAACTTTAGACTCTCAAAGATAACTAAAGAGTTGAGTCAGTTTCAGAGGTGTTTCTGACCACTTTTAAGCAGTTCAGTCTGTGAGTGATTGCAGGACTTTTGAAGAGACACAGAACTTTTTTTTTTTTTTTTTTCTTAAGAGGAAATGTTGTTCTTCCTAAAAAGGAAATGATATGTTTTAAATGTTCTGAAAGAGCAAGTAAGTGTGACAATACAGAATACACCCCTCTTCTTTTGGAGGTGAGCTGTCTCTTGGGCCTTATAATGATCTTACTCTTCCTTTGCTTTTTTTCATACTCAATAGACTTTTTCCCCTTAAGTACAAGTAAAGAAACTACATTCTTGTTTCTTGACTGTTAATCATAAAATTAAATATCCATATTTTATGTGTATATATTTTAAAACTTTTGGCTAGTATTTTCACTGTAAACACTTTTTCTGCAAGTAGTTTCACCACACAGCAAGTTGTTCATATGCCAATTTGGGCATTAAAGATAAAAAAATTATAATTCACTACAGTGTTCAATAGCATTAATTATCAGTTCTTTAGCTAATTTATATACAATGGCTTGTTCCTTAGTGCTGTATTTACCAAATGTATCAAACAACATTTGAAGTTGGAAGCAAAATAAGAATAAGATTTCTCCTGTCTCAAAAAAATAACCATATGATTCCTGATGAATACAGTTCTTGAAAATGGTGATTATTTTTTGCTATTTTATAGTGGAGAACATAGTGTAGACAGAATTTTGGTGTTTGGCACAGAACCTAGCTGAGATAATTTGGTGAAATATTAGGACTGGACATATGATGCAAAATTTAAAAAAAAATCTAGATATATGCTTCCAACTATGTACACTACATGTATTGATAAGAAACAGCTGCATCCCTCCTCTGTTTTACTTCCAGGGAAGTTGAAAGTGACTTATGGCAGATTTTTTTTTTATATATATATCATAAACAACTTGCATCCAGTATTAGATCCTGAGTCCTTAATATTGACTTTGAGAAAGGAAATATCACCGCTCCCTCTAAGATATACCCTAATACAACTATAAGTATGAAGTTACACCAGTTTGTTTTCAGATATTTTTGTATTTTTACTCTTCACAATGAAATATTTTTACAATTTTATTAATTTTTCATGTTTCATTATCTTCTTTTTATCTTTTTCACTATGTCCTTTTCTTATGGCAAAACTGCTTGTGGCAGAGATTCTTCTGGCAAAAATACCTAGAATCTAAAAAATACATACAGCTCTGGAAAGGTGCGTAACCCACTTTGGGTCAGAGTTAGTGGCAGAACCTCGGTTAAAGCTCAGGCCTCATGACTCCCACTCTACATCCACAGGGCCTCCTATGAACATAGGGAATAGATGCCCTTCTGCATGGCTGAAGCAAAACTGCGAGACTGGTACCTCCCACAGTCCTAGGGACAGGATTCCTAGGAGAACCGTTTTCTAGAGCTGCTTTTTTTTGCATCCTGCTCTGCATTCTCATGTTCCCAATTAGTATTAATTGAGGAAGGCATGAAGAGAAAACTGGGGCCTCCAGGAAGCTTCCTACTCCTCAACTCAGGCAGAGAGAGACCCCTGCAGAGAAAATGATAATCACTGAAGTTTGATAATTACTAAAGCTGAGGTTCTGCTTCACTAAGCAGGCACAGCCTCTCCTGGGAACAGTTCCCTGGACTCACCCTTTGGTTTCCCCAGCTCAACTAAACAGCTTGTTGGACTTCTTGTTAACAAACATGTTAGCACGTTGCTCTGTTCCCCTGAGTTGCTCAGAAGAAAAGTTTTGTGGAGGGATTTCCTTAGCTGCATAAGTCTGACTCTCATGCTTCCCTATGGAATATCTTGGTATTCCAGGTCCTTCAAACAAGGGGTTGGGACAGTAATAATTCAGTGGTGAACTAAAGCTCCTCCACTTGAGCAAAGGGAGCTGGAAGGATAAGCCTGGGCTAACTAAGGAAATGGAAATTCAATATCACTGCCTGAGATCTAAGTGAGAAGGAGGAGAAAAATCTGACTTGTTTTAGACACACTGCTCAAAGATTTCCAGGCTTATCTTGCACTGTCAGCCCTCTAAGCAGAGGTGTCCATGCAGTCTGGACTCCTCTCCATATACAGAATTCCTACAGACCCCATACCATGGTATAGCTCTTTCATATTCACTAAGCACTATCACCCTTCAGCAGCACCTCTCCACTGAGGCAAGACAAGACAGGATACATGTTATTATTCTCTGTTTTCCAAGTAGGAGCTCGGTGTTCTAACAGCCTGCTGAAGCAGAGACTGACTTCACTGGTCGGGGGATTTCTAGTCCTTACCAGTGGTGGGTGAAATGACATTCAATACTGCTTTATGCTTCAGCCCAATGAGACAAAACATCAGTAATTTATTGGGTTGGCCAAAAAGTTCATTCAATATTTTTCCATAAGATGTTACAGGAAGACCCAAATGAACATTTTGTTCAACACAACAATTTGATATGCTTATGTTTACCACCAACAAATTAGTAGCAATAACAATAATACTATTTATTGAATGTCCACTATAGTGAGTATGTAAATTTACATTTTTGAGGAGACTAAGGGTCCCACTAGCCTGAGATCACAGCAAAAATGATGGATCTAGTGTTTGTACATAGGTGCAGGGGAGGGAAGGGGACATTTTATGTAAAGGACTAATATAGGATAGGTAGGGACAATGGGTTCAATAATTAGTATCCATTTAGAATAGTTGAAGAGAAAGGCACACAAGAAGAGATAAATGGGAGACATAGTTAGAGATCATAGGCTTAGAAAATGTTAGAATTCACCATTATTTTGATTTTACCTTCATTGAAGTGTGGCTTCTAGATCTACTAAGAGATTCAGCCTTGGACTCTTAAAGTACCCAGTTTCTACGTGAAACAGAGCAGAAACAGAAGATTCATTACTATATCAGGGAATCTCAGACTCCATCCCAATTTCACCATCTGCTCTGCCCCTCACCATTGGTAGAAGTTTTTAGTTAAATTACACTGTTGTTCAGTCCTTGGTTCCTGGTCCTCAATCCGTATGCTGACTAGTCTTGTTGACTCTTTTGATGAGGGTACTGAATTATACTACCTGTTCAGAATACAGCCTTGTCTATGTTTGATGCAGGTAAGCAGGCATCCTGGAATGAGGAATGCTCTTTCCTTCTTCACATCAATCCAGCAAGGTTGCTAGGGTTGTATAACCCTAGCAAGAAGCAGACCCAGCATTCCTGAAATATCAAAGAAGACACAAAGAAATCATCTCTATTCCTATATTTTCAAACAAACATATAGCATTGGAATATGTTTACCATTCTAGATTGATACTCATTGTTGAACCCATTGTCCCTACCTATCCTATATTAGTCCTTTATATAAAATGGCCCCTTCCCTCCCCCGCAACTATGTACAAACTCTAGATCCATCATTTTTTTTTTAGTTTTNTATTACTACTAATTTGTTGGTGGTAAACACATGGTAGATATATAGAATCTGCCGTATATAAAACAAATTAGAAAACAGGCTGAAATAGAAAGTGGAAATGGGGACACCCAAAGCCCTGGTCACTCCCTGTGCCATCTTTTCTACCCTGTCTCCACAACAAGTTCCTCTGCTGAGATGACTCAGTTCTGCTTTCTCACTTTTTCACATGAGAGAACTAAGGGCAA